TAGAGACGGGGTTTCACCATGTTGACCAGGATGGTCTCGATCTCTTGACCTCGTGATCCACCCGCCTCGGCCTCCCAAAGTGCTGGGATTACAGGCTTGAGCCACCGCGCCCGGCCCCTGTCTGACAGTTTTCTAAGGGCAGAACACAGTAATCTGACTGGCTAATTCAAAGGCTGGCTGATATTCCATCAGTTAATAGTATCAGCCACTCATCAAAACATCCTTTTCAGGCTAGCAAGAAGAAACCTGATGAAAAACATAACCATTAAAGAAAAGGAAAATCATGACGCCTAGAGTGACAAATGCACGCCTGAAGATGTGTTGTCACCGGGGCAAAACTGGATTAGCTGCAGAGACTGTCACGCTGAACCCTGGAAGCTGCCTCACTTCCCTACCACTCAGTGGCTTTTGGCAGCCTGCACAGGGCCACCAACTTTTTAGTCACACAAAATAATTTAAAATGTCTTTAAATTTCTCCATAGCAGTATTTAAAACACAAACAAAATCAAAAAAGGAACAGATTTCCAACTGGTCTGCCATCGTGCCTGCGTGTACTCTCCTCGCAACAGCGCTCTGGTGGTAGAAGCACGAATGCTGCTCTCAGCGCTGCCTGCAGGTGCCCGGATTCTGTTTTGCATGTTTTAGTCTGTATCAATTCACAATGAGTGCAAACTCAATTCACCTGACATTAGGCGTTTCGAAAGGCAGCTACCCTTCGCTCTACATCCCCAATCTCAAAACTGGATGGTTTTAAATAAATTTTAGGGACTGCCTTTTTCTGTTCGCAAAAAGTCACCCACTTAATTACTTGTGATCATTTGCTTTTATGGTCCTAGGCCATTTTCACTGTCAACAATGCAACAAATTACAGTGACTATAACAATTTTATACAACCCCATCAAAAAAACAAGCGGGCAAAGCAAATGTGGAAGGTAGACACAGGCAGTAACAAACCTATAGGGGCATCTCGAGTTCCAAGACTGCAGATTTCTGTATGTAGTTTTCTATGTCTTGTGTCACCAAATTATTCCTGAGAATGGTCAACTTGGGTTTGGCTTCCATAATGCTTTCCCTAGACACTCAGCTATTGCTATTTATTGATGATAATCAAGTACAATAATACACCTTTTAAATGTGATCACCCTAAATTTAAGCAATATTCTAGGTTTAAACTAACTAAGAAGGGTGATTTCTTCCCTTATGCTCAACACTGCGGTGGAAAATGTATTAGCTGTCTGGCAGTCACACTGCACAGTCGTCCCTTTAGAGACAAGGTTTCCCAAATGCTGTTAAGCTGTATGTTTCCAAGGCACAGTGGGAATAGCAGGGTCAACAGGAACAAGTGGCCTGAATTTGAATCTACCATAATAAGCTGTGTGAACTTGGGAGTTTCCGAGTTCTCATCTATAAATGAAAATAGCAGTATCTATTTTATAGATCTGCTATGAGGATTAGAGTTAATATAGCGTCAATAAAATCCTAGCATATTTCCTGACATACTGAAGATGCTTAGGAAGTAGTTGCTATTGCTCTATACAGTCATGCGTCACTTAATGGTGGGCATATGTTCTGAGAAATAAGTTGTCAGGTAATTTCATCATTGTGTGAACATCAGAGTGCACTTATACGAATCTAGATGGCACAGCCTACTGCACAGTGAGGCTCTATGACACAGCCTAGTACTCCTCAGCTACAAACACATATAGCATGTTACTGTACTCAATACTGCAGGGTGGGTGGGACACAATGGTAGGTATTTGTGTACCTAAAGATAGAAAAGGGATAGTGAAAATATGGTATTTTCATCTCATGCGGCCAGCATCCTATATGCAGTCCACCGTTGAAACTTTATCATGCAGCGCATGAGGGTAGTTGTTTTCAGATAGGTTCAAAGTGCTTTATACTGATGCCTATCCCAATTTATCTTTGTTAATTTTACATTAATTATACCTCCCATGTGACACCATCCACAAATCTGAACACCATGCTACCAATTCTTTCATCTAAGTGACTGGTAACAAATACTGAACTAAGAACAAAAATGGAACACTCTAACTTCTCTAAAATGTAAAGAACTCTCAAAGGAAATGAAGGATACCCTACATAGAAAATTAAATAAAGAATATGTACAGGAAACCCAAAGAAGAAAAGAGAAGGTAAATGTATCACAAGTTATCTGAAAAATACAAACTAAAATACTTCTAAATTGGTATATCTCACTGCTGTGGGCTTGGAGAAACAAATTCTCCAATTTGACAATACATATTGAAATTTTTGATCTAGGAATTCCACCTCTGAGAATTTATCCTAAGACAATTAAGGGATATGCAAAATGCCTGCTATAAGGATGTTCAAAACTGCACTCTTAGAAAACTTATATCCTCAATCTAGAGGATTTGTGAAATTCAGTAACAATTATGAAACAAAAATATGGTGAAATAAGTTATGGAATATAAAATAAACTTGTAGCAGCCCATTGCCAGGTTAATGTATTTTTAAAATTAGTTAAAAAGAAAGTTATTAACAATATGTATAGTATAATCTCATTTACTATGAATGACATACAGGCATAAATCAATATATATGTCTACAAAAATGGCTAAAAATATAAATACTAGTAGTGGTTAATACAGTTTTTAAAATGCTCTTAGATTGAATGATTTTTCCTTAAGTAATACATATTTTTTTCTGCTGTAAACATGTATTATTTGGATAACAGAGAAGTGTAAAGTTTAAAAGCACAGAATACTGTTCTACAGGTAGGATGATATTAATCTGCAGTTTTGGTGTATGACCTGTAAGAAATATTTTTAGCTTACCCAAAAAAGTATTTGAAGACTTTGCCAAACACTTTATTTTACCTATATGCACTAGGTTAATGCATTCTTCCAGTTCATTAAGTGAGCAATCTCACCAAGAAACAAAGTCAGATTAATCAAGTACGGCATTCTTGATGGAGTCGTGATTAGTGATCACCTTCTTTGCTTTCTGAGTGCTCAAAAACCTATTTTTAATTAATCCATTTATTGATTCTCACCTCAGACATCATGTTTACTTGTCTGTGATTTACATTTTCAATTTTTAGCCTCTTTAAAAAGTGGAAATACATTTTTCTTGTCGCTATCCTTCAAACACTTGTTTGGTTCCCCGGCTTTCCCCAGATGACTGTCAGTCACATTCACTCAGTCGAATGGTATGTCCCAGGGTCTTTTAGTCACAGCCTAGCTTCACCTGGCTTGAAGTTCCTCCTATCAATACTTATTCAAATGTTCTCATTCTAAAACCTCTTTTTTACTGAAAACATGGAAGTGAAACGTAACTGGACGAGTGCCTACATCCTCAGAGGAGTGGTCCTATCCTTCTCCTAGTTCTCATTCAAACACAGAGAGTCCCTTGGCTGGCATCAGTTACAAAGACAGGGTAGGGAAGAGAGGTCAAGGACAGCAGCAAGACAGTTTCATAAAACAACAGTGTGGTGCAGGAGACAACAAACTGTAGAGTGGGGGTGGAGGGGAGAAGGCATGGAAAAAAGCTGAACACCTTTGAGGAAAACAAAGCCATAGCATGGTCTTTTCCTAGCTGTGATATCCACAGTTTTTCATTCTGGAGTCCTTTAGACACACAGGAGGCACATATCAGTAAAGACTAGCTGGACACATAGTAAAATGTAGAATTACCAAAATAAGGCATGTGTTTCTTAGGAGAAAGAAGAAAGAAACTGAGAGGTAATGGAAGGACTGAGGTGGTACTTTCAGCCATAAAACAAAATAGAAAGGTGTGTCATCCATACGTAGGAGGTTTAATTTTTTTTTAATATAAAGAGTAAGAAAATATTTACTTTATACTTATTTCTACTTTATATTCCAGTAAACACAGAAATGTCTCTAAGGAAGAGTGCCTAACAGTCTATACATCATAAATCTATGCTTCATATTAGAATTAAAGGTTTAAAATGTTCCATTTACTGAATGGGCAAAAGGCCAAAATGCACACGGGGAAAAAAAATCTGTGACTGTTCTGAAATGTCCAAAAAGTAGCATCTTCAAGTTCTTTCATGGTTGTCCCTAATATATTCTCCTTCCCCCTGGACTATAACCTACTTACATCTCTGCTCTGCAGAGATTTTCAATAAGGATACAAAAGGCAGTAGATAGGGTTATAAAAAAGCCTTTCAAATACAGGTGCTTAAAAAACCCATTCCTCCACATTTTACAGACAATACAGCAAGTGAGGCTGGAGGCCCCGCACAGTGAGGGAAGGGCATTTCCAGGTGCTGGGGCTGGACTACAGGGCTGGGGTTTGCTCACTTTAAACAGTGCCAGCTGACTCCTGCTTTCTACAGTGATCTGGGGCCAGGGAGCAGGCTGAATACGAACAAGTGTAGCCCGTGCACGCTCATGATACCTTTACTAACATCCATCTCCCATGAACATTTTGCTGATGCTAACGCTGCAATTAGGCTATCTACAAGTTTCTCCCACAGCTGCCTAATACCTCTGAACAGTCTAATACTCTCAGAAATTCCACGATGCGCAGTATATATACATCACTGTGGAGATGGTAACACTGCCTCTCAGGAGGAGAAGCGAGAAGGGGCAGAGACAGGGAAGGAGAGGTGAGGAAGAAGGAAGAGGGGGCGGGGAGGTCACAGAAGGCAAGTAATGAAGAGGATCAGAGAAGCAGCCAGAAGTGCAGAGGGCATGAGGATGGAGAAGGCAGAGGATGGAGGTGGCTGCAGGGAGCTTCATGGATGGGCCGTGGAGACGTGCTGGCTTTTCACAGCCCCTGTAGAGGCAGAGGCCTCAGCTCCACCAGCAACACAGAACCCAAGGACGCCATGCCAGGATCTGACCTCTACTATGATGAAGAGGAAAATCTCCTTCACTTCATCACAGAGGTGGCTCCTTTCTAGAGATTAATTATTCAACCTCCACTGAACTGAAAACGTATCATGTAGACCCTGTATGAAGTACAAACGCCCTCACCAGTAACATTTTTATATGCCAATGAGTATTCTCTACTCTTCTTCACAGAAGTAGGTCCAAATAAAACATGCGACATTTTGGTGAGATCTATTTTCAGAGCTACCTCAGCCTACTTGAAATACCACCCTAACCCCACCACGCAAACACCGCTCTCCTTGTCTTTGTTTGGTTTCAGTATCTCCTTTCACCCCTAAAGCAACTAACTGTAGCTAAAAGATTCAAGCATAATTGATGTCAAACAGAAAGCTATATATAGGCAATAAGCATTAATATGTATTATCCATGCTTCCACTCTGGGCTTCTTTTCAGCAGACAGAATCATGTTTTTGCTCACTCCACTACAGCCTCATGCCTAAAATTTTATTTGCCCTTTCTTCTCCCTGAAAACACAGGAATTGGAATAAAGACCTACTGCCCTACTCCTTAAAGGGTAAGGAGGCACCACAACTCCTAATAGATACAACAGGAGATGCTTTT